TTTGTAGTCCTCCTGAGTTGCCTGCCCCTTCTTCCAAAGGTCATAAACTCTCCTTTTTTTTCCTGAGTCCCAGCCAAAGCCCTCTGTTCAGCCAGGCCAGTCTTGTCCCCCGCCAGCACATGGGGACAGCCTGCTCCTGCGCCTTTAAGATTTCCTTCTTGAAGAATGTTCGGCCTTCCTGGACTCCTTTGCCCCCAGGACGGTCTCCCAAGGGACTCTGTCAACCGGTCTCCTGCACAGGCCAAAGTCTGCCCTCCGGAAGTCCAAGGTAGCAGTTCTGCTGACACCCCTCCTTACTTCTCTAAGAATTGAAAACTCTTATCATTTCGTGATCAAAATAACAATCCAATTATCGAATAATCAATCGAATAATGCTGAAACCCCCAGGTACCCATACACAGCAGTTGCTTGGTGGGATTGAGTGTCACAGGGATGTAGGGAGAGCCAGAAAAAGAGAGCTCTGCCACAGACCCAGAGGGGCTTCAATGCACAAACAGCATCAGGCTTTCCACATCATGACTCGCTCAGTTCTTGAAGAAGCAAATGCCCCTAAACTGCAGGATTTCTGGCACTGTCTACAGTGGCAGACTGCGAGAGGTCCCCTGGCCGGAGCATACCATGCTGCCATGTGTGGGTTCTCCCTCCATGGTGGCTGCAAGAGCAGCTGGAAGGTGGTGGGCAGAGCTACCAGGCTCCAAAAGGACAGACTGCAGAGGACTGAGAAACACCACGGTGAGTTCAAGGTTTGCTGAGTCGCCTGCCAGAGTCAACAGTCCTCACTATACACCAAGAGCAGCATTTGCACACCCTGAAGAATTGCGTAAGTACCTGACACCTTTTATGAAAAAAAAAAAAAAGCAAGAGACTCAAGGCCCCTGCAGAGAGCAGTTTAGCTCAAAACCAAACTGTGCTGAGAGACCTCAAGACTGAAGCTGCCGATTCATAACGCCAGTTCTGCAAAATCTCAGAAACTGCTGTGAACCACACAGGGTCTGTGGATCTTGGCAAGAGGCACCCTTAATAAAGAGTAATTTACAGCAAACTGAAGACTCCCCAGAGTGCTGGTACCTTTCCAGGTTCTTAGAGGCCTGTTTTGGTCTCATTACTGTGTTAGAGGGCAACATAAAGTGTAACAAAAAGCAAACATGAAAGAAAGGGTAATAAATTCCCAATACCTCGAGCCTTTACCTCCTTCTCCCCAGGAACCTCACAGAAGTAACGCGTGGCATCGCTCACGCAGAGTCACACTAGAGCTCTGCTGCACACAGCGCTGCTCAGGACAGACATAATCGGCGAGCCCTTGGAGCGATCTGCAAAAGGGGGTTGAAAGCAAGAAAGGACTGACCAGGCAGGCTGCTGAGAGCAGAAAGGAATTAGCGTTGCTACCTCTGGTAGGGCTGTTAACAACAGCACAGGTGGTTTTAGCAAGTCACTGTCCTGCACCTTCTCGGCAGACAGGTTTGGAATCTGATTAACAAACCCTTATCACCAGCTGTGATTTTTGTGGATGATAATTTCTGCTGGCAGCAGGAGAAATTCAGAAGCTGCTCAAATACTGACAGAAGAGGCTACTAGGGCACCATCTTCATCAGGCATTGCTTTTGGAGCACGGTTAATGCAGGTTTGATGGGTGATTATTTCAATACCTAAATACTTGAAATCACTACAAATCATAATACCTTTCAAGTGCACTGATTTTCATTTGCAAGAATTTATTTTAAGCCACAAATTTGCACTGCTTTTATGAAATCATATAGATGTTCCTGCACATGATTTTAGCTGGAATCAGTGAGCAGACATCATCAGAGAACATTTTTACTGTCTGATATTCATCATTCTCGGGCTAAATAACATTCAAGAATTTACTTGTTTCATCACAGCTCAAAGGCAGACAAATTCTGCATTCCCTAAAACAGCTAACCAGGACCAAACTGGTGACTTTCACCCTGCATGACTGTACTTGGTGAGGAGATTTTCCACATAGGAATAGGCATTAATAATTTATTTCTAAATCATAGTGTTTGCTCACATTAAAAATCAGCATACAAAATATTAACAACTACTTATGTCAGAGTCTGCTGATAATAATAAAATCTGATTTTATTATTACCAGCAGAAATAAAATGTGATGCATGCGTAAGTATTTTGGGAGTTCAAAAATCAATTCTCATTAACTGCAGTAGAAAAAAAGGATTTGATAACTTAATTGAAAAGAAAAAAAATCTGTCTTTGGTGGGAGTGAAATTAATTGGTATTAGGTAAAATCCTGCCAAAATCTGGAAAGTCACTCCAGCCTTATCCGCAACAGAAAATGTTTACAGATCAGGTCACAGCTAAAATGGACTCAAACACTGTGTGTGTTCACTCAAGGTCTTCTGGAAATGCCCTGCAATAAAGTTTATACAAATAAAGAATGTATTTGCTTTAAGTAACAGCTATAAAAGAAAGTACAGGAAGTGCGTGCAAACTGCCAGCAGATTTCTGTTAACCCACCACCAGAATCTCCTGCTTTGTAAATCCCACCCCACTTTCTGATGCATTGCCCCCAGCTAGCCAGGGAAGCCTTCAGCTCAAAGACCTGGCTTCATCTTAAAATAGTCTCAGACTATAAATGAATTAGAACTGTCTGTAAATCAGTTACATCTCAAAACAACAATACTTTTCCTTAAATAGCTTAAGCCATTCAACACCATGGAACTTCTCACTTCACTATCTTCCCCATAGCACCAGGATCACAAAGGAAGGACCCCTCCCTGCAGGAGATGGCTCCTGGGATAGGCACTGGCAGAGCCCTTGTGCCTACAGGGGCTTGTTTGGGGAAGGAAGTTCAGGCCAAGGCAGAAGGATGACCCAAAAGCACATGCTGATGGTCCACCAAGATAGCTGAGCTTTCTGCTTGGTCAGCACTGCCTCAAGGGCACCATCAGTGCTTCTGCCCTCTCAGAGCAAGAAATGCTGCTGGCCAAATTCACACCTCCAGATCTCAGAGACCTTCCCAGCTGTGCCCCCAACTCCAGCTTCAGCAGGGCAGGGCTCAGCCCACCATCTAACATGACCAGTCAAGGTGTATCTACTTCCCACAACTGCTCAAAGTGGTCTGGATTTCCCAGTGCCTCAGATGAGGAGGGTGGAAAGAGGACACTTACTGCAACAGTTAAACTGTCAGCCCAATACATGGGGTGCTTTAAAACCAAATTTTCCTCTGTGGGTTTCCAAATGTAAACCAATTAAATCTCAAAACAACCCTCTGAGGTAGGTAAGTATCTTTTAATGTCTGTTTTACAGGCAATAGAAAAGGGCTGAAAGGGCAGTGAAGTGATTGACCCAAGACCCCACAATGAGTCAGAGATAACCTGAGCCCCAGTTCCTCCTCAAAAACCCCTTTTTTTTCTCCTCAGGTCCAACATCTTCACTGGGTATTTACAGCAGCTGGTGCACCCCAGGGGCCTCTGCGCTTGCTTATTGCCTAAGGGACACGTGGTGTAAAGCTGGAGTGGGGACCCCTGTGCCCCTCCCGTGAGGCTTAGTGAAGAAGAGTGACATGAAGCTGCTGAGTTATCTTTATTGTAGAAGCACGCTAAGACACAGCGAGGCAGCAGAGACCGCAATGGCACGTGTGGGGCAGACCCAGGAAGACACCGCTGGGTCCGCACAGCCCTTCACCCTCCACCTGAGCAAGGACAGGCCCCGTTCACTGCAGAAGGGAATGAAGGCAGCTCTGGCAGTCCTGGGGACTCAGCAGCTCCCCTGATGCTTGACATCAACTCTTCCTTTACTTGCCCTAGGAAGACAGGAGGAGACAGTTTATTACTATAGTCCCAGACGGCAAAGGGACCTGAAAGGACCACAAGAAAACCTCAAAGCTGTGATGCTCCTGTGCTCTGTAGGGGTTCTGAGCCACCCGTCTCTCACCACGATGGGGAACAGCAGCACGCTGCTCTGCCAGCATTCTTCCTGCTCTGCAGGGACAGCTTGGCTGAAAAACCAGAGCCGGGGGAAAAGGAATGGGCAGAGCCCACCACTGCAAGCACTAGAAAGTTTGCACACTCCCACGGGCTCAGCCCCACCATCCCCTGGCTGCAGCAAGAGGAAAAAGCACACTGCAGAGCCCTTTGCCCCAGCCCTGCGGCCTTGCCCAGGCAAGGCTGGACACTCCAACCCTTGTGAAACACAACCTCCAAAGGACAGGCTGGCTGAGAGGGGGTAAGTCACTGCCCCCCCGCTCTGTACCTTTGGTCACAGCAGATCCCTGGTGTTTGCTGGCAGTCTGAACTCCATTATTTCTGGAAAGAAAGAGCAAAAAATAAGTCCATCCCCAAGCATGAACACTGCTGTGTGACACTTGCAGAGCACTAGTATCTGTGTGACAGCCCCTCCGGCCAGCTCAGCGGCCACATGAAACAACTGCAGCAGAGCCAGGCACCAGGGCAGGCATGTTGGGTTGCTGCCAGCCTAGGAAAACAAGACTAATTTCAGCCTGAAGCTAGGTGCTTTCCACACCTACTACCTAACTGGGAAAGGTCCTGGTTTTTTTTCTTTTTCCTCCTTCTGCCACCTTAAAAAGAAACATGACAAAATAAAGAGCATTGTAAGAAAACTGGGACTTGCCCGTTGCAACCCTGGGAGTTATCTGTTAAGAAACAAATTTTTAAAAAAAGGATAAACTGGATATGTCCTTTTTTCCTGACCTATTGATTAACGTGGGCAGACTGGTGACTATTGCATGGGTGATTGGTGGAAAAACCTTTGAACAAATAAAGGAACTGAGAGATACGCAGCATTAAAAGTGAAATGTACTGGAAAGACCCATAATTAATTCACCCGTATGACTCAGCACTGCAGGACCTAGCGGCCAGCTAGCTTACCAAAAAAGATATCTAAACCCAGGACTCAGACCTACATTCATCCACAGTAAAGCAGCACGAGATCAAAGGGATTTGGTTATGGCGCAGACCTCCCGGGGAAGGTGGTGAGCCCAGACACCAGCCAGCCCGAGGCCCCGGGGACAGGCTCTCTGCAGCAAGGTTTTCCACCACAGCAGTGCACAGACACACCCTTTCATGTCAGATCTCTCTCAAACCACACTGCTCCCATCCCTTCCTACGAGCATCCCTCCCTGATGGCAATCTGGTCACCAGGCAGGCAGAGTTGCCAGAAACACCTGGAAATCCAGTAGGAGCTTTGCAGGCAGGAGTGGATGCAGATAATGAGCTGTGAAGGAATAAGGCAACTTGGACACATTTTGTCAGGCAACCCAGCACCCTCCATGGATAATTTCAAAATATAACTCAAGGAAATACTACATTTTTGGGTAACAATTTCTTATCTTCCTCCAAAGCTTAGAGAAGCCTTTGCATTTTCGTTCTGCACATTGCAACTGTGTAAAACCACTTCTGATGCCAAAAGCACCACTGGAGCTGGTTTCCTCTGGGTTTTAGTAGCATATGTTGAGTGCCTGGATCTTCAGTAGAAAAGAGAATTCATTATACTGCAAGTTACCATGAATTTCAGTGCTGAAAATAACATTGCTCTGTTCATTGTTCATAAGTTTCCGACTAAGAAATAGGGAAAGTCTTTGAAGGACTCAAAAGGTGTTCCAAGGAAAAGGGCTTCCATAAATTTCTAATCTGATTCTTCAGGTAACATAATATACATAAGGAATAAATCATTGTGTGGAGGGGTTTATGGTTGGCTTTTTTTACCCCAGGGAAAAAACTCATCACTTTCCCTTTTAATTGCATTCAACTCTCCTTGGAATACTTAACATAGCTACAAGCTGTCTGACTTTCAGTAAATGGCATATTCCTCTAATTGCAAAGGCTTGAGAGCTGTAACAGCTTGGTAAAACACAAAACAGTAAGGAATTCCAGACCAGGCAGAGTTTTGTGGGAATCCTCCCTATTTTTCAGTTGTCATAGAATACCCAATCTCGTCTGTCTTGGGCAGTGTAAGCAGAGTCACCAACAGGCTTGCATAGTGCCTGGTCTCCCTGCATTCCCAGAATACACGAGCCAAGAGTGGCTCCATCACACTAAAGGTCGAGACATGAAGGCCTCCAGTACAATCACAGGCAAAATTATTTCTCTCCGCGCTACAATTTCATCAACTTTAAACAAAGTTGAGAGCACTTTGCTGCTTTACAGAAGAGGGGGAGAAGAGCTGGGATGTTTACTTTTTAATGTTTTGGGGATCTGCTGGCATCCTGGCACTGAGCAGAGGAAGGCATGGCATGATGCTATGGCATGATAGCTATCCCACAGGAAAGCTCTTTGTTGCCTACAAACACATTGATACCAAATTCATATTCAGAAGCCAAAACTCCTATCCAAAACTTTACAGAACTTCTCCGTTTGGCTGGTTCAATATTTTGATTCTCTCCAGGTTTGGAGAGCAGGAACAAATCTTACTATTTCCCCTGGGGATGAATATTCAGTTTCTCAAGAGTTCACGCCAATACAGAAGACAGTCCCCCCTGGGTGTTACAGGGCATCCCGCACACTCAGGAGACATGAACGCAGACCCTGACTGCAAATCAAAGTGCTGGAGACTGCCAAGCTACCACTGGTGGAAAGACAAAGCACAACTGAGAAATATTTAACTCATCTGCTATATGGGATCGCACAAGATGTCAAGGCTCAAGACCTTTCCCAAAAGTATGCCACTTAGTGAAAAATTTTCATTTCCCAACCATCTCTCTGAATGTTTTTTGGGAAATGAGCTCTTTATGGTTGACGCAGTTCTAGTCTTTCTGGCCTCACCAAACTCCCCAGAGGAAAGCCAGATGTTTTCCCAGACATGTCACTCTCCTACCCTACAGCCTAGGTAAAACATGGAGACCATGCCCAGGTTATATATTAAATTAAAGTCTGAACCTGTATTTAAACATCAGGACCATGAGCACCCCACTCCTGGGGCTCTAATGGTCCCACCACAGATGCAGGGGCCAGGCTGGGTCCCCAGCACACACTTGGAGTGAGAAACAGGATGCCAAGAGGCACTTTGGGTGGCCATTTTTTCCCACCTCTGAGCAACACCTCACCCCAGGGGAAAAAAAAAGAAAAAAAAAGGAGATCAGGGCTCCAACACCCCTCTTCCCTCCCAGCCTGCGATACATCTGAGCCCTCCCAACTTGCAGGACTCCCCAGGCTGACCCTAACAGTACTGCAGTGTGCTGCACCACATGGCTGAAGAGCAGCCACAGAGCATGGCTTTAATTAACCCATTAGTTCAGTTAATTGTTCTTTCAATTAACCTGTTGGTTAACCTGCCTGCAGGGTCAAGGTGTTGACCCCCAGCTATTGCTGAAGAGCACAGCAGGGCAGCTGGTGACTGGCTGCCAACTACTTCTCATTTTTCACTCTCCACTGTGGCTGCCTGGATCAGGCCCCCACAGCCTGAGATGGTGCCAACAGGGGAGTTTCACAAGGGGAAAGGAAAAGATTGATGTTTCCCCAGCCCAGCCATGGCATGCCGCTTACCACTTCAAGTGCAGGCTTTCGGCATTCACCTCGATAGTTTACCGTGATGTAGTTTGAAGCTCTCCTGCAAAGGGAGGACAAGACATTGCTTATTATTCACTTGCAATGCCACAGCTCTCTGCCATCGGCATGACAGTCCTCTGTGGACTCCTTAATACTTTGATGCTACTTCCAATATGATCGCATTTATTACTCCCCAAACAATGTTATGATCTGGCAGAAAGGGAATAGGGGACTCTGGAAACTTATGTATCTTAATTAGCTGTCATCAGATTAATCTCAGGCATTTTGATCTATGTTTGCTTAACAGCAAGGCACCAAGGACACACTTGATAGTGAGTCATGATATATCAAAACAAACACTGTGCTGCAAAAGACACTCGGGAATGGTGGATGGCCCTGTATTACTGAAATCTCTCCGCCTACTCACATGGCAGCTGAACACAAGTCACATTCATTTTTGTATGTTTTCCCATCAGTGCCACAGACTGGTTGTGAGGATTTGCTGCAGAAAATCCTTCCACCCTTTACCCCGTGCAGAATTCGATCACAGTCCAGCTGAAGAGAGAAAGAAATCACATTTGGCACTGGTTCACTTGCAAGATCCTCCTTTACGTGACTTAAAAGTGCTTACAAATCAAGCCTTGCCATGGGGCCCCTCTGCCCTGCAGAACGTCCACCACACCTCCAGCAAGGCCAGGCTTGTAAAGAGATAGTCTCTTGTAGGACCAGCCAGCCAAGCTTTTGGGGACAGAGCCCTCCCTGCCCCACTGCCAGGCACAGACTCATTCATCTGATCCACCTTGGCACCTTGGTCCAGGGCAAGTTTATTTCTCTCACCAGGGATCCACAAGAAGATGAAAACTTCTGCCACCTGTCCCTAGTCCTCCTTATCAGGGCTTTGATGCCATTTCATCTCCAAGAATGAAGATGAAACCCATTAGCCAAAATTATCAAAAAACCTCTACAGCAGACTCCCACTGCCCAAGGGCAGTGCAACACAGCACAACTTCTGACACCCAATGAATTCAGAGACACAAACATATATGAGCAGCTATGACTAATTAAGGGTGCCCTCTTGTTTCCTCTCGAGCATGACAACAGGAACATTTAGACACAGCTTTCCTTACAAACCACACGTGGCACAACCAGGACAAACTCATAACAGGAGGAGTGGCCTTTGGGGACCCCAAAAAGCCTCTCACACTTAGGTCTCCACCCTACAAGGACACCAGGGCAGGTACTTGCAGAGTCATAGCAAATTTCAAACAGCAGAGGTCAGATACCACAGCCTGTTCCCTGGCACACACACAGCCCCTTCCTCAGCCTGGCCACCCACCTCTGTTCCAGGTGTTGAAAAAAGACTGAGATGAAGGAGTGACTAATGGGTTCCCATCCCCTTCTCCGGGTGCTATAAAACATGTTGCAACAACTGCAAATGGTGCAATCAGAGGAGACCTGCAGCTGGGACGGAGAGGACATTTGGCCTCCTGTCCCACCTAGAGATGCACCATTTAGCACGAACTGATGGTTTATCAACAGCATCATGGGGCAGGAAGCACCACAGGGAAGGAAGGTTTCATGCCAGGCAGCACGGGGGGGTTGGTGACATTGGGGTGCTGTGATAGCACCTGCTGGTTAAGCATCACTTGCTAATTTCATTAATGTGCTGCTTCCTCTCTCATCTGGGTAATTACTGATGACATGAAAGCAGACATCACTGACCTTTGCAATTCACTGCTAGATGCCTTCCTATGTGCAAGACATTGCTGCCTGCAGTACGACCCATGTGCCTGCATTACTGCCAGGGCAGGCAGCCACCCCACCAGCAGTCCCACATATCACAGGTCCCAGCAGCCAGTGCCACCACTCCTTTGGCTGTGGGGAATTGGCGCTGCCTGTGACAAAATCCACGGGTGGCCCTGGAAAGAGGAGAGGAGCAGATTTGCTCTCTGAATCACCTCTCATCAGTCAGGCTCATCAGCATCCACTCCTCCTCCAGTGCTACCAGGAAATACCACTAAACCCTGAGGCAGACTGGAGTTATTACACCTAATGTTTCCTCTGGAATGCATCAAAATTGCTGTACCTGAACCACCTACTGGGATTTTTACTCAATTATCCCTTTTCTAAAAGTGGTCAGTGACAGGGGCTTCAGAGAGAGTTAAGGCAGTTCGCAGTAAGGTCCCTCCAGCCCCACAGAAACACATTGCCAAATGTTATTTAAATTACTGCATACAAATGCTGGAGGGATTAAAACATCAGGTCATTTTTTTTAACCATCCTAGCCCTTGACAACACCCTGTGACAGTGAGATCCACAGTTTAGCCTCTCTTTTCATGGTAACGTATTTTCTCTTATTAATTTCATATTTTCCACTTCTAGCTTCGTTGAAACTACTGCATTTTCTTTTTGTGGAGACAAGGGAAAGCAGACACCTTCATCTTCCTCCCATCTTATTCCATACACATCTATCACTCAAGTGTTTCCCCCTTTAGCACTCCTTCCCCTGCTAAACCTTGTCATCATCCCCTGGCCAGCTCCATCACCCTGCTCCAGCCATGGCCTTTGACTCAGCACCTTGTCAACATGTGAGAGGTGGCACTCCTTGCCCCACTTAGGCTGGATGCCTGCCCCACACGTAGCCACAGCTCAAGGCCAGTACCCTCATAGCTGATGTACTTCCATAAGGAACCAACACCAGAAGCAAAACTGGCTTAGAAGGGTCCCGTATGGGCACATCCAGCCCTGCTCCCCTTCCCTCTGCTTCAGTGCCGGGGATACAGGGGCTAGCATTGAGATACAGATGCTTTCACTCATTCAAACCCTTCCAAGGACACGAGGCCAAGTGAGACACTTTAGGGCCACAGCAGGAAGGGGAGCAGCTGCTGGGAAAGGAGCCAGCGGGGGCTCAGCACCAGCGGAGGAGCACCCAACAGGACAGGTCCCTGTTTCTGCCCATGCAGATGCCATCCGAGATGCAGGAGGTGGGTTTACCATCTGGTAGGTGTCGGTGTCTCTGTTCTGCGCCTTGTGGCCAGGTGCCAGGTTGCAGTTCCTGCCGCTCTGAGCCATGTTTCCTTGTGGGCTTGTCAGGGAGAGAGAGCAGAGAGGCAGCTCATCACACCTCCCCTCCAGAACAGGGTGAGTGCAGTGTGAACCCATCCTCCCCACAGACCCCCACAGCCCTTGGGGAGCTGCTTGCACTATGGAAGCACCCACCCACCAGGAGAGGAGAGGGCGAGAAGCCCCCCAGCCACATGCTAACAGGGAGGTAGCCAACAGCAGGACAAACGTTGCCCTCTGCACAACCCAAGTGCATGACCACCCCAGGTCTCTGCAACCCTGTCTGTCCACCAGCATTGCTTGGTGGGTGGGGAGATGAAGGGACTAGAGGAGCCAAAAGCAAGAAATCTCAGAGCAAAGGCTCTGAAAAAGCACTGAGTCCTGCTCAGGTCCAGCAGCTATAAAACAAACAAGAGTGCCTCACCAGTGCCCAGAAAGCACATGGTGTGCCAGGCACTGCCTCTGAGCCAGCGGGTAAAGATGAGCCAGGGCCAGGCAGCAGATATGCCCTGACAGGAGACAGGGTTTGCTGGGCAAAGATGTCCTGAGAGGGATTTTGAGCACAGCAATCACTGGTGCTTCGTGCACAGGAAAGTCAAGGGCAAAAAGGAGCAAGGGTTGCTTGCTTGCATGAAAAACATGCCCCACTCTGCACATCTCTTCCCCATCACCAGCTTAGCCAGTGGGGAGAAGTGCTCTACTGAGCACCAAACACTGCAGTGTTCAATTCTCCATCCCAGGCAGTGCCACTTGCATGCTACTGAACCAATTCCTGCTCCAATTAACCTCCTAACCACCCCCAGGAAAAAAAACATGTAGGTAGAAGGGAGCAGAAACCAGCGCCAGGGCTTGTGGGGTGGTCAGGGGGACAGGCTGCCATCCCAGGTGCTGCTGTACTCACCCTCTGTTCGATGAGAAGGGACGTCTCTCATTCACACCCTGCTGTGATCCTGAACCACCACAGCTCTTCTGCAAAAGGGGCAGGATCACGTTCAACAACCAAGCGTAGAAACAACTTTTATACAACTAGAGAAGAAGCAAAGCTAAAGCAGCTCCTGTCCTCCCCCCTCCTCCTCCCAGACTCAGGATGTTGCAGGGCTGTTCCTGGAGAAGCAGGTTTGATGCTTGCTCCATACAGGCTTTAATACCCACCAAGTGTCATCATCTGAGGGCTGACAGGGCTGTGGGGAGTCTGAACCTGCCCTTTATCTCACACATGGCATCACACCATCGGGAAAGCAAGAGGGGCTGTTCTGTCAGGTCCAAACATGCCCACTTTGTATGCTTACACACAGGTCCATCCCACAAATTAGCAAGGCTTTGCAATACAACCTGCTTCTCCCCCATCGTTAGCTGGCTCCAGCATCCCAAGCACCATGGTCACCCCAAGCTAACCACAGATAGTCCCTGGCCATCAGGATCCCACAGACTCTCACCAGCCCCTTTATCTGAGCTCAGGGCAGGCTCCAAGTTCCATCTCACCTGGTTTGTTCTCTCTGAAGTGAGCGGTTTGTTGCGCTGGGCAGTTCCACCAGACTGACCTCCTCTTTGAGCTTCCTTTTTGCTGAAAGAAGGGGAGAGGAGGAAAAGGGAGTGATATGGCAGTGCAAGTGCCACTGGGATCTAGGGCTGCCCTGTAAGTGTCATGCCGTTAGGCACCACTTCCCGGTCCACAGTCCCTGTTCCTGGTGGTCCTGTTCCTAATTCCCACCCCTAAGCCTTCTCCCTTCTCCTCACCATTCCCACTGTATGCTACATCCTGGATCCAGGTGGCTGCTTTCATATCAGGGCTCCTTCTGCATATGCTCTATGGGCATATGCATATGTAGAGAGAGAGCGAGCATCTGGAAGGCAAAGTACACACGTGGGAAACTCCTCAGGAGCTGCTCGCACCAGACAGTCCCCTGGGAAAGGGGTTGCTCTCTATCAACCTTGCTTCTCCTCCTCTACTCCACGCTGCTTCTCACCTGCCCCTGGGCCCTTTGTGCTGAAAGGGAAGTGGGAAAAGGGGCAATGGCCGGAGCCCTACTGCCAGAGCATCTCTTGGAGGGCCACTGGGATTCAGGACTCTCTCCCAGGCATCACCTAGATGCAGCTCCTCAGGCAGAAGCTGCGGTTTCACAGCAGCAGGTTTCCCTCTTTGCTGTTGTTGCTCAGAGGAAGCTGTACTCACAACTTATCAGCACACATGAGACATTTGTTGGTGTGCTGCTTGCCAGAGGAATCCCGAACAGGGTCGTTCTCCCTCGTGCAGGACAGTCGTCCACCAGCTTCAAACTGGGAGCGATACTCACTGCAGTCATCCTGCAGAAAGAAGGCAGCAATTAAGGCACCCTGTCCTCCTCACCTTATTGATCTTAGAAACATGGGGTTTTCTGCCAGGAAAGCATTGAACCATCACAAATGCATCACAGGAGAGCCTGGGTGTGGGCAAGAGAAGAGG